ATTTATTTTCAACTCAAAATATCTTCAAACTAACGAAATATAAAGTTATTAGGGAGGAAAACCCGTCTGGGTAACAGCAGACTGACTGCTCGTAAAATCTACGACAGGTCTGGACCACTCGTGAATTTTGTTCGTATCTGAAAAAAATGTTAGAATATGAAAACATTGGTGAATGCCACAAATTCTCCTAAATCACTCGTACGCACAACTTAAGAACAAATCTGTGCGTACGAATGGTTCTTGCATGAGGCCCAGTGTGTTTGTATTTAGCTGTGGTCTTTTACCAGGATGTGAAGTAACATTTTAATTATATTCCTGATAACAATAATAAGTTTGTTTACTGCTGTTCTCTTGGGTCTTGTTTTAAGAACAAAACAGTTATTCCTAACATAAAATATGCTCACTTGAAACATGATTTTCAAAGGCAGCCTTTTTTTTATTAGATCTGTACTTTACCTCTGCCAGCAAAAAAAAAAATAAATAAATAAATAAAAATAAAAAAAATACATCAGGCACACCTGAGTGGATTCTCTGTAAATTCAAACTGATGGTAATGACATTCAGTTATGGACAAAAGGCAATATCTCTAGAATAAAGATGCTGAAATTGCTCAATGTTGCTTTTATGTTAATGGATTATAAAGTCAGCACTAATGTACAAAAAAATGATTTTAACAATCTGTCCTAGGAATGATGCTAAACGCTCAAGTATTCAGAATATTGTACCTGCAGTACTTGACAGCAAAAAGCAATTAGTGGACCAAAATGAGCTGTGTGCATTTGAATCTTAAAAGTCTGGGATAAAAAATGAGATATTTAYCTGATTTGTACACTCTAAAAATGAAATGTTGGATTTACTTAACCATGTTATGTTACCTGGTTCCACTTAACTGAGTTGAGTAAATTCAAAGCAACATAATCATGTTTTTTGGCTAAAAAACTGGTATATTGTTTTGAATTTACTCAACTCAGTTAAGTGGAACCAGGTAACATAACATGGTTAAGTAAATCCAACATTTCATTTTTTGCAGTGTATTAGAATGAATTTAAGTAGGGTAGCTTTATAAAGTGAATGACAAAACGTGTATGACTGAACCAGTGGATTGAAGAAGGAGWGAGACTTGACCAGAATGAAAGAGTGAAATCACCTAACCAACAATGAGAACACACAAACACGTCTCTAGAATCAAGTCTCAACCCTTAAAATGTCTTTAGAATTATGGGAAGAACAATTTGGACTTCACAGTTACAGGAAGTTCCATTTCATCTTCTGCCAAGTTTTAGACCATATAACATAAAAACAACACACACATACACAAATATACAAAAAGAGGAGAGCATGTTACCAAGTATAATGTTTTCCTACCTGCAGAAGTTGGCTCCTCGCCATCTGCTCCTGTGAACACAAAGAAGAAGGAAGAAGAGGAAAAAAATGCATTAGCTTCATCACAACTATGTCACAGTATTCAGGACCGCAGCTGTATTTAACACTGCTGAATCAACCACACTATTAACCACACTGCACTCCCATATGTGCATTTGACACGTAATTCACCAGAGCATTAAAGTGCATCGAGCCAGATGCACCTGCTATCTGTAGGTCCCAGCATCCTGCCAACAGAAATGCTACACTGCTGCCACAAAACATAACCTGGCACTGTGTCAGAGCCCATCCTCTATTTAGGCACCCTGTCCTGGTCCTCTGGCTTTGACTAATATGTGCTCATCATTCTGAACCACTGCAGGGTTAGTCCCTGTGTGATACATATTCGCTTGCTCAGGYTCCAGCTCCCAAGCCCAAGTCCAGCTACATGGTTGAGATTTGGCCTGTCTGCCATCATTAGTTCCATGCTCGATCTCCATCATTACTCACGAAATTGCTCCAAAAAAAATGGCCTGAAAGCTGCATGCAGATATAGTGGAAGTAGACCAAGGACAATCAATTCAGGGGGAGGGGATGACCTGAAATGTGTTGCAATGCACAATG